CTTTTTTACTGGACTTGAATCTGCATACGCTGAAATGATATTATGCTATACTTACAACGCAACATTCCTGTAGTAATCATATCTTCTATCCTTATTTAACTTTGAACCAAACTACTTATACTCAATTATAATTCATCATAAATTTTCCTTTGGTCCTTCATATACTGACGAAAGTGTGGAAATGGATTCTTCAAATTATTGCTCTTCTCACGCTAGAATTTCATGAATAATTAATGCCTTCAGAGGATCTAGCATCTGGCTCACCTATTTGTACTCCTGTATAGCCTCAATGTTCTGGATATTTTATTACACTTATTGTTATTTCTAATTTATTATCAAAGGTTCTATTTGCTTTTTCTATTCCTTTTATTGCTATTATATTACTCTCTTTTAGTTTGCAAAACCTGGAGGTAAACGACTAATATTAATCTTAGGTTGACCTCTTTTCTATGTTGTCTATAGATTCTCTTCTACTACTTCACTCTTCTTCCCCTCTTCATTCTTTATATTATTGTACGAATCACTACTCACTAATTTACCCAAATTTTATTCCGTCATTCTAATTTTTAACAATATCAAATATTTATAATATTATATCCTTAATCATACTTATATACGTAACCTTTTATTACCATTAAAAGGATTCTCTATTAATTTATACACTCTTCTATTTTGATACTTCAACATTCTTCAACAATTACAATTCATACTTTTATGAAATTAATAATTGTCCAATATTTAATTTTCAACACTCTTAAATTATGTTCTCATTCTCAACCCTCTCATTACTTAGGTTCAAATTGTATAAAAATTATTTTATAATCATTTATTTTCATTTCATCAAAAAAAAACCGGTTAGTACATATGTATATTTGAAAGAATTATAAAATGTTCTACTACAATTATATAGATATTTAATCACAATTTTTTAATTTTCTTGCTTAATTATGATTTTTATTTTTTATTTTGGCAATCAGAGCATTGGCAATGTGAACTACATTTCTTATTTCTAATATAGCATTCACAATATCCTTTGACGCATTTAGTTTTTTTACATTTGCATCCCCAAACCTATCTCGTGTCAAAAGAATCAAGATCATGATGTGATGCTCTTTATTCCTTAATTTTTATCTATTCAACTGCCTTGATAACTTCATCTTAGTGCCATCCATCATTAAAACAATCAGAACATTTACATTCTTAAGTACATTATCTTCGATTGTGAAAACAGGAGCAATATAATTATAAACAATTTGTCTTAGAACAATGGCAAGGCTTGATTTCTGAGTCCATCGTAGGAGAGTCATCAACCTTCAGATTAAATAAAACGGAAACATGTACATTATAATTGGCTTTGCTTGCCTTTCTTCTTGTTCTCGTATTTGCTATAGGTTCCTCTTGTATCTACATTTGCTCTGGCTTAATTTCAAATGAGAAGGCACTCTTAAGTTCATTATTGGTTTCTAGTAATTTAGAAGGACTGAGGATTTCATCTTATACCTTTTGCTATTGTTCTTCTTCATGAATAGAGTTCAAAGAGGAACTGAAATAGATTAAAACAATACTATTATTTGACAGGAGGATCCTAAATTGATATACTACTTTAAAATTTTGCATTTGTCTCATCTAGTATTTATTTATCTTGTGGTTCAAATTCATCCTCAGCATCTTATTATTTGTGCTATTACCAAGGATATTCTGGAGATGAAATATAACCAGCACTATTATTTTAGCTTCGATTATTCATTAATAATAAAACATCAATATTCATTTTTAGTTATATATTATATCAACTATGTCTTCCAAAGGCATTTCGCTGAACAATTCGACATATTCCTTAGCTAATTGTTCACTGCAATCAACAATCTGAGCTAATTGTTTGACCTTCTTATCTATTTCACTCTCAACTGGTTCTTATATTAGGAATTGTTCTATAATTTCAGATTTTATTTCCTCCTTTTAAATTTAATTTTCATTTTCTTATACTTGTGATTTCTCAGGAACTTAGGAATCAGTTATTAAGGTTTCAATTTATTATTATTCATTTGATTTTTCTTCTTATTAAACTTTTTGATTATTGATTCCATCTTTCATAGTTTTGAAGAATTCTTAGGTAACTTAAGCAGCTGTCTTTTTTAATTCCTTGAATTTGGGATCTTCAACAAATTAAATAAAATTGTTAAAAATATGTGGAAATGGTCCAACATGACGAACTTCATTTTGTGTACATGGCTTTGGTTTTTAACAATAAGTTTTTTAGTAATCTTCTAATTCTTAAGGATTACTGATTTTGAATAGTTTATGATTGTGATGTAAGTTTTTGAATTGGCATGATTCACATAAATCAAAATTTGGACATTCAAGACATTTAAATCTGGTACCAACAATTGGGGCAGTTTAACAACCATCACATTTGTAATGAGAATGAATCATTTTTTATTGTTATGGTACAACAATATAGAGTTTAACAGTTTAATGAGCTTCATCAATTAAAACTTGTAAATCTTCTTAGCATGTAAGTGAGATTTCATCATTCTCATTATCCAAATAAGTTAGTTTGTAGTTTGAATTAATAGATGGATACACTCTTTAGACATGTGCTTAGAGTGCTTAAAGTGTTGGTTTTTCAAGTTTGACAAGATGAATTTCTTTGTTAAATACTAACTTAAATTTCATTAATTATTATAATAAGAATTTGATATTATTTGATAAATTTATAAATTATATTATACCTCGGTATCTGATAGATACTGATTGGGATTAAGAAAGGATGATATGAGGAATGGGGGATGGGAGAAATGAGAAAATGATAGAGGGTTATGGGTATTTGAGAGGGGGTTTTTGTTTTTAAAAATAATGTATTTAAAAATTTGTTCATAAACTAATATTAATTAGAAAAAGTAGTCAATTAAATGGGCTTAAAATTTGTGTATTTGATTTGTGTAGTAAAACATGATAAAAATTTATTTGCATGAATTAAATAAATTAAATAATGGACAAAAAGATAATAGCAGATGTGTTCTAGAGACATTTAGAATAGTTGGTGAGTAGACTGAGTGATGTAAATAAATATAAATATGAGATAGGACATTCCAGCAATATGTATATTATCTGGTAAGGAAGATGGATCAATAAAGCCTAAGACAAAGGCCCTTTTTGTTTGGTTATTTGGATATGACATGATAGAGACAGTATTTTTGGCCACAAAGAGATAGATATTTTATTTGGCAAGTGATAAGAAACGTAAGTTTATTAAGTGAGTTTATAGTTCAGATGATGGATGAAACAAAGTAAAAATTAAGTGGGAAATTTGAGGTAAATTTTTACAAGAAGATGAATGATAATAGAGAATCATTTGATAAGATTCGATAGAAAATAGGGAATGTAAAATTGGGAATGCCAACGACAGAGAAATAGGCAGGTAGTTTAGCAGCTGAATGGTATGAGTATAAGGGATGGTAATGTATAGTAGATGGAAGTTAATTAATAAGTGATGTATTAGCAGTTAAAGATGATTAAGAGTAAGGGTTTATTTAGTAATCATCACAATTGACTACCCGCCTATTTAAGAAATTGATAAAATAAATAGAGGATTCAATAGATGTAGGTACAAGGATAACTCATTAAGACTTGGCTAAGAAGGTTGAGTAATCTTTAGAAAATGATAAACAAAAAGTGATAAAGGAAATAGGATTGTAAGATGGATTGTATGATTTTGCATATACTCCAATAATTTAGAGTGGTGGTAATTACTAATAAGTGGAAGCACCAAATAAAGACTATTTATCATCAGATGTAATAATAATATAACTTGGAACTTAAGTAAATGAATATAATACAAATTGCATTCGTACATTATTTATAAATCCTACTGAAATTTAGAAGAAATTGTATAATTCTATTTTTGAGGTTTAAAATAAAGTAATAACAATGATGACTATTGGAGTATCTCTAAATGTGGTGTTTAAGGATTGTCTTTAATTATTGTAATAGAAAGTATAGGAATTAAATTTATAAAATGTTTAATTACCAAAATCATTTGGATATGGAATAGGTCTTGAATTGAAAGAATCATTTTTAACAATTACAGAAAAATCTACTCATGTTGTAACTAAAGGAGAAGTGTATTTTGTGACAGTGGTATTAGAGAATGTTCCAAATGGACAGAAGAATATAAATTATACAATATAAGTAGGAGATGTAATAGTAATAACAAATGGTGCTGCAACAATTACAACCTAATAAATACCAAAGGCTTATAAATAAATATCATATTAATTGTAAGAGGAAGATGAGCCTGAGTAGAAACCAGCACCAGTATAAAAAGATTAGCCAATTAGAGCTAGACCACGTAATTAGTAAATATAGATTTAAAGAGAGAATGAAAAATAGAGACAAATTCATTAAGAGAAATTAGCAAAAGAAAAATAAGCTGAATTGGAGTTGAGATTAGAATAAGAATAATTTGTTTAAAATTAATAGGAAGTAAAGGCTTTGGAATTAGATAAATTGACATGTTATTAGAAGGTAGAATAATATCCAAGAGAACTTTAGAAGGGCTAGATTTATATTGATAATTAGAGATGTGCATTATTAGTACCATTGTTGGGTACTCATATACCATTTCATGTATCTTGTATAAAGAATGTGAGTAAGATAGATGAGGGTAAGATAGGATCATCAATTAGAATAAACTTTTTTACTTCAGAGACAACGGCTGGACAGATTTAATTTCCAAAGGTAGATGGAGAGACTATATTTATAAAAGAATTATAATATAGATCTAAGAAATCAGATCGTCCTTAGAATTTGATTTTGCAGATTAAATAATTATAGAAGAAGGTTAAGGCAGAATAGTAAGTTGAGAGAGAGAAATAACATGTAGGAGAGATGGAACCTTTGGTTGTTAATAAAGGAGGCAGAAAGCCAATATTTAAAGATTTAAAAGTAAGACCTACATTTGGATCAGGTAAGGCAGCAGGTATATTGGAAGTTCACACTAATGGATTTCGTTATATCCATTCAAATAAAGAATAATTAGATATTGTATTTAAAAATATCAAGCATTATATATATTAAAGTCCAGAGTAGGATATAATAGCTGCTTTACATTTGCATTTACATTCTCCAATAGTATTAGGAAAACGTAAGACACATGATGTTTAATTTTATTGTGAAGTAGGAGGAGCAGTAGAGCATTTAGAAGGAAGAAAGAAAACAAATAGAAATGATGATGATGAAATAGAAGAAGAAGAGAGATTAAGAATGCATAGAAAGAAAATGGCTAAAGAATTTGAAGTGTTTATTAAGACTATTGAAGAATTAGGAGCAGATTATAAAATATCATTTGAAAAACCTTTTCGAGATTTAGGATTTGAAGGTAATTGGAATAGAGCGAGATTATTTTTATAGCCTACTCGTGATACTTTAATGAATGTAGTTGAAAGTCCATTCTTTATTTTAACATTAAATGAAGTGGAAATATGTTGTTTTGAACGTATAATTCCAGGAATTAAATCTTTTGATTTGGTATTTGTATTTAAGAATTATGATAAACCAGTGCTAAGGATAGAAAGTATTGATATTAAAGATTTAGAGGGAGTTAAGAATTGGTTGGATAGAGTATTAAATAATATTTATATTTTAGATGAATCTTCTTTTTTTTGAAGTGGGTTAAAATTTAGTATGGAAAAATGTACTTGCATAAATATAGAAAGATATACCAGGATTTGTTTAAGATGGAGGATGGACAAATATACTTGCAGAAAGTGAAGAAGAAGGTGATGAAGAAGATGATCCAGAAGCAGGAGATAGTGAATTCTCTCCAGATTAATCTGTAATATATATATATATTATTTAATAGGGTGATGATGGTGAAGATGATGATTCAGATTTTACAGAAGATGATGATGATGGAGATGATGGTGATGATGATGATGAAGATGATGATGAATTATCTGATGTTCTTGATCTCAATAATATTAGTGAATAAGATGAAGATGATCAAGATTCAGATTCTGATTCAGGTATTCTATATAAATATCATAGATTAAAATAAAAGAAAACATAAACATAAAACTTAATAATAATCTAAACCATAACCTAAACCATAACATAAACCTTAAAATAATAAACCATAACCAAAACCACTTCCTCGTTCAACTCAGCCTCAAAAACGTTAACCAACCAGAAAATGAGTATTATTAAAATTTTATTCATTATTTTTTATACTTAATGAATACCACAACCTTAATACTCATCTCAATAATCCATTATTTTATATTTATTATGAATTATTTCCCTTGCTCTATTCATAATCTACCTAAAAAGAGTGAAACATCTAAGAAGTTTTGATTATTTGATTCATTAGTTTAAGAGGATTCTACTAATTGTAACATATTTTGAGAGGCTAATTTTAATGATTTTAATGATCTGAATGTTCACAAAAAGCTTTGATATAAAATGAGATAGAAATACTACAAATAAGGATAGTATCATTACAAGACTACAAGACTTATTGGTACTAATGATAGAAAGAAAGAAACATATCCATCATATAATGAATGTTTGCGAACCGTATACATCACCAATTCTATACTTGTAGGTTCAAAGTTTTAACAATTCATTGGAAAATACCTCTAAATTATTAATTAAAAAACTTGATACCTACTATTTAGATCTCAAAAATCAACTTAAAAACTTTGTAAATTCAAAAATTCCTATCAATCATCTTTTAGATTCTATTAGTATCTATACAGATTTCTAATCATATAAATATAATATATCGTACTCAATTACTTTATTTAGATAAATTAATGAATAATTCGCTTTGCAGTAGATTTAGTTCAATCTATTTCATTTTAATTTTCAACTCAATTCAAGGGTGTCAATATTACAATCTCAGGATAAAACTTAATTGCTGAATAGAAGACTTCTGAATATAATGGATAGAGATTTACTATTTTTGAACCATCTATTCTTAATAATGGAGTCTACAAATTTGCTTTAAAAGTAATCAAATATGTTGGTTGGATTGGAATTGGTGTTTGTCATAGAGAAGTCATTGTTAATTTCAATTATAAATTCAATTATACTAATATTGGATATGGGTATTTTTATTTAATTCTTATATTTGATCCTATCTCAAATCCAATAACGCATATTTTTGGTCGCTTTTGTAGAAGGATTTGAATTCTGCCCATAAATCATTCCATTTTGGAGTTGGAGATATCATCATAATCGAAGTTGATAAACCAAAAAAGAAAATCGCTTGGTTAAAGAAGAAAACTCATTTTAAATTTGTAATTTATTATACTAATATTTTAGATCATGAATAAAGATACTAATTAAGATTTTTACCCATGTGCTAATTTATGTAGTCCAGGTGATACTGTAGAAATTATAAACAAGATTGAACCTTGATAAATTTATGTTAAATTGTAAATAAAAATTTATTTATTATATGCAATCTATATTCTATCTTGAATGTATTTGAATAATTTCTATATGTCAAGATATTTTTGTAGAAAAATTGTAGTTTGATATTTTATTGAAGATTCTAATTAGTGAATGAAAATATATTTTGCAATAAATGAATTAATATAATCTTGGGAAGGGCAAATAATAAAAGTAATTTCATTTGATCTTGTCTCCTCTTAAACTTGAACAATCTTTACGTATGAAGAATAATTATTTGGAGAATTCATTATATTATTAACATACAACTCCTAGAACAATACTGCCATAATTTACACCTTAAAAAAAAAAAGCTTAAATAAGTTTTCAAGAATCAAAGAATTCTCCACAATCGTAATTGGTCACATCATTTAAAGTAAGACCCAGAAATTTTCATTAAGAAAAAGTACAATTTTAAAGCAATTTGAGTAACTCATTTATTTAGAATTAGTAAAGGTTCAATCAAGATTAATTCCTGATGATAATTTTAAATTCAAAGCAAAATATGCAGCTAGATCAAGAAAGGGAGTTTAAGGAGGAAATGCTACTAAAGTGAATTAGGATGCATTTATATGCTGTGCAAAAATAGAAAATAATGAATGTATTCATCTATTTGCAATATGTGATGGACATGGTGAAAATGGACATTTTGTGAGTGGATTTATAAAAGCTCATCTTCCAACATTAGTATCTAAAAATAAAATGATATTAGAGAGAAGGTATATAATAAAATATAATATTAGTTCTTCATAAGGATTAATGATCATAATTTAAGGGCTTTCTGATTTGTTACAAAAGAGTAATATCGATATTTCTTTTTCAGGATCAACTTTAGTGATAGTTTATCTTTAAAATAATAAAGTAATTATAGTATTAAAAAATATTAGCTATATTGTGCAAATTTGGGAGATTCGAGAGCAGTTCTATTAAGTAGAGATGATAAATGGAAAATGAAACCATTATCAAGAGATCATAAACCAAGTTGTAAAGATGAAGCTGATCGAATCTTAGCTAATGGAGGAAGGATTGATCCACTTATGAATAATTTAGGATTATTTGTTGGTCCATTAAGAGTGTGGACTAATTAGAATGTACCAGGTCTAGCTATGACTAGATCACTTGGTGATGAAATAGCACATTCAGTAGGTGTTAGTGATAAACCTGAAATACTGTAATTTGATTTAGAGAAGAGTGATAAAGTAATCATATTGGGAAGTGATGGATTATTTGAATTTCTTAATGATGAATAAATTGTCAATTGCATAACTCCTTATTATGATAGTTCTAATATTGAAGGAGCTTGTAATCAATTAATGTTGGCTGCTTGCAATAGTTGGATGTAAAAATGCAATAACCTTATTGATGACATTACTTTCATAGTATTATTCTTAACTTATTGATATCACTTTATATCTCTTTACTTTTTTATTATTTATTTACTATCCATTATTTTAACAAAAAAATAACTAAAAAATTATTTAATTATTAAAAAAGAAATTAATATTCATATTCCTTATATTTTCTCATAATTAATCTACATTTTGCAAACTAGAAAACCTTAAACGAGACATTTAATTAAAATAGAGTATATAATCCCTATATAGAATAAGGATTTATCGGTTTTATTCAATATTAATTTTATTAGAATCTCAAAAATTCAGTGCAAACTAATTTATGATATATGCATTCAATATATAAATCATAATAGTCATTATTCGTCTTCCTCCCATATTTAAGGTTTTCTAATTGTAAAACAAATAATTATACTTTAATGCTAACTTAATAAGTTCTGCTTCACTTAAATTATTGACTTTCTTAGGAAAATGCACTTTACTATAAAATTATCATATACTTTCATCTTGTTATTGAACTGCCTAAACTTCATGAACCTCTGGAATTGTTATTATCTTCACACTGCTATTTATTTAAACATGTAAGTCATCTTATATATTATTCTAATGTTGTTAATGCTACTTCTCTTTCTCTTCCATATAATTAGGCTTATCAAAAGTTGATTGCCGTTTTAGAATACTTTAACGCTTTGGCCTGATTTCCTAATCCATTTTTATGTAAATTAAATATAATATATTATTTATTTCAGCATTCAATTTCTAATCCTAAAATGTTTAAATATTTTTTGTAAAACGATTGATAGTTTGTATAAAAAAAAGAAGATATATGATCATATGTATAATATAGTATTTTTATATAATAATTATTGTTCAATTAGTATGCTATTTGAAAGTTCCATTCAATCATAAGCTCCTCTTCTTTCTACAAGAAATAAATAAGCATAAATTACAGAAGTGTTTAACAAAAATGATTAATTTTTTAATGGTAGAGTGATTTATGCTAGAAACTTGGTTTCTAAATTGTTTTTGTAAATCATAATGGTCTTTAAGTCTATCCGATTAAATAGGTATTTAAGTATAGATATTACATTCTATTCCTGCTTTAGATTTTTTTCTTGAATAATATAGATGGATATTTTGGTAAAGTTTTGGAATACATTCAGGCACATCCATCATTAGCTGTAATTTATCGTAACAAAATAAAAAGTTGTTCCAACTAATTGGATAGTTTTCATTATATTAACTTTATCATTTACTTCTTTTTGAGATTGTTTGGTTGCTTTTTGTGATTCATAAATTGGATTGTTGATCTTTGTTAATTTTGCAAGTAAGTTTAATAATTTAACAAGGTTTGATATTCTTTTATTTTTATATTCATCCATAGTTAGAAGAAAAATAACTTATTCTGGAGCTGTATTGTATATATCAGATAGCATATTAATAGTTTTGAAATATTCACAATATACACTAAAGTTTCAAATTTTGGTTTATGTTCATTTCTATATCATCTTTTTTATTTGCATTTATGTTGCTTATGATACCTCCACTAATTTGAAGTAAGTTTGCAATTTAAATTCTAGCTGTGGAGATTCATATTATGTCAATAAAGCTGAAGATGTAAGTGGAAGTTTGACTATCATCCTATCATTATTTAAAAAGCAGAACTTATTTAAGATAATCTATCTAACACAAAAAATTGATGATATTTATATATTTTAATAATTTGCATCTAAAATATTAATAATCATATAAAATTAAATTCTCATCTATAATCTACATTATTTTTGGATTGTAACAATACTTTGAAGTGTTATGACAATTTTCTTTAAATTTTCTTCTCCGTGAATTTCTAATAGATATTATCTAAAGCATAATTATTTCTGTTAATTTCCCTACTAAATAATTTTATACTACATTACTAGAATTATTTGTAATACTCATCTATTTCACAGATATATCAATTAAAGGACATTAAAAACGATAAGATTATCATATAAACTTATTTTACTATTTCCTATGTTAGAATTAAAATTGTAAAATTTATATGAAAATGGACCTTAATATTGGGGGGAGTTTATCCATTTAATTCATTCTAGCACAATTTGTAAACCTTTTAGAAATATTGGGAATAAATAATTATAATAAATAAACTTGTTCTTACAGTTTTAATATCTTATGCAACCAAAAGTTTTTATAACTAAAATCTTTATTGAGAAATTTA